CTGAAATGAAATAGAAAAATTAAAAATAAAATAAAATTAACCAGTCAATGTAATAAGTGAAGTATAAGTGATTAGAAAAACTTACTCGTACTAGAAGCAGCAGCAGCTAGATATGTAAAATAAAATAAAAAGTGCAATAAAACCAATCAATATAAGAAGTCAAGTATAAGTGAATAGAACAACTTACTTATACCAGAGGAAGCAGCAGATAGACATAAATAAAAAAAAATTAAAAATGCAATGAAACTCATCAAATAATGTAATCAGTCAAAATAATTCAAGTGAGTACATCAACTTACTTGTAACAGAAGAAACAGCTAGATATAAATAAAAAAAAAATTAAAAATGAAATAAAAACAGTCAGTCAATGTAATAAATCAAAATAATTCAAGTAAGACAACAACTTACTTGTAACAGAAGAAGCAGCAGCTAGAGATAATTAAAATGAAATTTAAGATGCATTAAAATATATCAATCGACATAATCAGTCAAGTATAAATGAATATACAACTTACTCGAAACAGAAGAATCAGCAGCTAGAGATATTGAAAATAGAAAATGCAATAAAACCAATCAATCAATGTAAGAAGTCAAGTATAAGTGAATAAAATACTTGTACCAAAGGAAGCAGCAACTAGGTATAAATAAAAGAAAATTAAAAATGCAATACAACTAATCAAATAATGTAATCAGTCAAAATAACTTAAATGAGTACATCAACTTACTTGTAAAAGAAGAAGAAACAGCTAAATATAAATGAAAGAAAATTAAAAATTAAATAAAATCAGTCAATCAATGTAATAAGTCAAAATAATTCAAGTGAGACAACAACTTACTTGTAACAGAAGAAGTAGCAGCAGCTAGAGATAATTAAAATAAAATTTAAGATGCAATAAAAATTATTAATTAACATAATCAGTGTATAAATTATTTATTATAACTTTTATCAGACATAGAATATAATATAGTTACTTACTAATGTAGTCTAAAATGATATCTAAAAAAATGGGCCAAAAGTATTAAGTCCAAAATAATTACAAATTGAAAACAATGCATTTAATTTTAGATGTACATAAATAATTAAGGTGTGTAATAAACAGAAAAGCAATATTACTCACCTATCTTTTTTGTAAATCTTCTAATTTTTCTAAATAAATGAACAAAATAAAAAAAATTTACAAAATACATTTAGTTTTGCTTAAGATTAAATAAATTGAAGTTTTTTTTTACATTAAAAAAAAAGGAAAAAAAAAATGTAATTATGTTATTACAAAATAAAAAAATTATAATGCTGACTAAAGCCAACCTCAATGTAATTTTTTATTTAATATACACAATTAAAATTTAATGAAATTTTGCTTACTAACTCTACTTTCTAAATTTTCTAAATAAACAAACTATATGAAAAATTTGTTCATAAATTTAATTGCAGTAACATAAACTTCAAAAAAAAAACTACAGTGAAAAGAAAAAGATGAATAAAAATGCTAACTTTGACTATCGAGAAAATTTCCAGGCAGAAGAGATACTGAATCCACCTCTTCTGCGCCTATTTCCTGCGCATCTAAGAAATACACACAATACAATATACATTTATCATATATATGATAAAATACTACACCTAGTCTAGAAAATGAATTCAAAGTTTCTTGTTTAAAAATACATAAGCATTTTTACTTATTTCAAGATTCGAGATATACATATAATAATGAAATTGCACTTGTTAACATAAAACGATAAACTTGATCTATTTTCAATATTAAATAGCTGCGTTTATATAAACCTTAACAACAATCATATTACTATTACTATACAAATATTTGATAAAAAATATACTATTCATTTCTATATACTTTGAATAAATTTTTAGAAATTATCGCTTTAATATAAAAATATAAATTGTATATAAAAAATTATTATTTACTTACTTCTAAAGAAGCCTCCCTCATCGCCTAAAAAGAGAATTACTTATTTGTATTTTATTTGCAATAAATGAAATGATAACATTGCTTATTTTGTCTATCAGTAAACCCTATAAAGTATAGTTAAATATATCCAATATATGCGCATACAATATATACATACCGTTAAAATTTTCTTGTGAGTTTATTCCTAAAATAAAAAGTAAATATTTATTCTTAAATCTTAGACATATTCTAAAGCCTAATTTGAAATAATAAAAATTTTAGGTAAAAATGATGTTAAACATTACTAAGAGAATAAATATGGAAAGCAATATCCGTATTTTCATGTATATCAGAAAATTTGAATCATGTGTGTTAATTATAAGCGATTCGTTGTGTGATATTTCTTTTCAAGTCGTTTTTGCTGCTTATCAAAATTTGAATTACAAAAAAACGAAATAAAAAAAAGACATCACATATAAATACTGGAAAGTTTTCAGAATGTTTTAATAGACTAATTTATAATTTTTTGATAAAAACAAAGTTTCTCTATCATACATAACATTTTTTACTATTCCAGTTGTTATTGGTGACTAAAAATAGAAGAGCATAAGATTTCTTTTTCACTTAATAAAATAAGAGATATAGATTTTTCTATAACTCTAACTAAAATGCTACAAAACAATTTGGGTTTCCAGTAACAAAAACTCGGTTTCCAAAGAAACATTTTTTTCGCAATCAAATAAATTGACTAAGCTTTGTTTTTTACTGTGGTGTTAATCGAATGAAACATAAATGGTTATAGATTAAGTAATAAATGTCCAAATCCGTAAATACAAATCTCGGTAACTTTATTTCACGCTGACAATTTGTATACTTATTTACTTCAATATTTTTAAGTGTATAGTAGAAATATAATTTATAAATTGCTAAGATTAGATTATAAAATAAACAAATTTTCCACTTTAGTTTTATTAGAACCGTCATCCATATATTTATGATTCGAAAGAAAAACTTTGAATTTAAGATTTTTAAACCACTTTAAAGAAATTACATCATCTAACGTAGTGATGAGCAGATTTAAAAAATTATCACGTAGGCATATAACAAAAGAATTTTTATACATAAACATAGTTGACAATTACGCGACATTTCTCCCGGTGTTTTTGGAAAGTTTTTTTATAAAATTTAACCTTTTTTATTTGAAAAGGAGAAAAACAAGACAAAGAATCAGGTCACGAATCCTAATTATGTCAAAATTTAGCTCTATTTGTTTGACAATTCTTAAAGCAAGTTTTCTGCAATGAACTCTCAACAAATTTTTTCAAGTTGTTTTTCACACCGGTTTTAGCAAATTATTAAACTGCTATAGCTATTATTTGTACCGACAATTGGTAAAATACCTAATGGAAATGGAACTATCTAGCTCCGTAATTACCATGGTAATAAAAGTATAAACGGTTTCCATTCATATATATTACAAAATAACGAAAATATAAAAAATTTAAAAAAAAAGCAAAATGAGCAATGTATCTATAAAGCACTACAATTCCAAAGAGAAAAAATGTACAAATTTGTGTGAGAAACATTTTTTTTATTATCAAAAAATTACAAATATATTTGTAAAATTAATCAGAAGTACTTTATAAAATCAATTTGAATTGTTTCTTTATTATATATCTTTTAATAAATGGTATAAAGATTAATAAAACTTCCCTTCGGCTGTTAAAAAACGATCAAATTTAAGAGAAGAAATTCGACCTAAAATAAAACAAAATTATTGGAAACACTTATTACACATTAATATACTCTTTTATTTGGAAACTCACAAGTGTGACTAAGGTGATAACAAATAAAAAGCTTACTATGAGACATGTTTTTTTATGTGTATTCTTGTAAAAGTTTCAAGATTTATTGTTGCAAGTTTCGTTTATAAACTCTTTCGTAAAAAGCACACTAAAATAATCAAAAAAATATAAACCCCTTACGGTTTAATATAAAAGTTGAATTATTGGCTTTTAGTGAATGATTATATATAGTCAGTTTCAGTATGAAACAACCCAATAATCATTTTTAACGATAGACACTGACGTGAAGGTAAGCTAAGTCATCTGTCAACACAAAACTCACAATAACAACATTAATAACAACAACATCAATAACAAATAGCACAAAATGTTACAGCAAAGACTCAATAAATGAAACCACCAAAGGAAAAATATTAGCTTAATAGAATGATTGAGTTATTGGTAATATAATCAATAAACGAAGTTTCAACTGGAATTTTAAAATTACTTTGATTTATTAAAGGGTTATTGAGTTATCCAGATTTTATTGTAAATACTTTATTTACTAACAGCATAACATACTTGTAAGTACACATTTTATGATTTCAAACAGATTTTATTATGTGTTTCATGTCAATACACCGCTTGGCTAGCAAGGACAAAACTCTTGCCATAAACAAAGCCAAGTCACATTATTTATAGTACACCGCTTGGCTAGCAAGGACAACACTCTTGCCATAAACAATCCTAAGTCACACCACTTTGAAACCATGAAAACAACACAATAAATAACTCACTAACTATAAACAGATAACATTACAACACAAAATACGCTTCATATATAACAGCGATTTAAACATTAGTTACACATAAATATATAAAAATACATAAAATCTTTGCACATATATAAACACATAATAAATATCACACATTAGAAACCAAATAATACACAAAAATACTTATCAAAACTATAAATTAAAGTTGGATTATTTTAAAAAATTAGGTGTTTAATAGTAAAAAATTTATTATTTATAGATTTAGTATATGGTAAATACAACATTGTTTGTGTTGCATTTATTAAATGACATACCTTGTAATAAATGTTCGTCAATTTTAAAAAATAAGGTATTAAATGATCTTGTTCTTGAACATGCTACATAGAGTTGACCATGTGAAAAGCAAGGGTTTTTGAGATAAATATCAACTTCATCAAAACCTTGACTTTTTTTATGGTCATTGAGTATGCTAATCTTACAGGAAATTGAAGACGTTTAAGAGTAAAATGTAAATTTGAATCGGATTGTGTTAACTAAACTCGAGAAACAAACACCCTCTTGTCAACTGAAACACCTGTTAGAACTTGCCTATCAACGTGATTATTTTGTAGAGCACGCACCATCAATCGGGTACCATTGCAAAGTCCAGCTTTAAGATCTAAATTTCGAAGTAACATTATAACAGCACCAATTTTTAATTTTAGGCAATGAACAGGCATTCCCGATGGAGTAAGACTGTTTAAAAACTCAACAGTAAAATTGTTGATTTTGTTAAGATCATCTGTTTCAAAAGTATCTGCACTGTAATAAACTTTTACATCTCCTGGTAAACGGTCCAAAACTTCTTTATTTATTGCTAATGAATCTACATTAGTAAGTGTCAAAATGGCACGTTTTGCATAATCATCTTCTTCTGCAACTTCAAAAATCTTGTCTGCTATAGATTCATTTGCTCCAAGCAAGCACTGCTCAGGAATTTCAATGCAACCGCAAAAGGAACCATCTGCTTTTAAAGGTAATGTTCCACTACCAAGTTTTAAAGGCCATTGAGAGAATTCTTCATCTTCAGCTCGAACCCTCATATTTTCTGTTAATGAAAATCGCTGAACATATTGCCAATGTTGAAAACATTTTATACAGGCTTCAACAATATCTACTAGTTGCCCTCTCATTAGAACCGGAAGTATTTGCGTAAAGTCTCCACCCATAAGAATAACTTTAACACCGAAAGGAAACCAGTTATTGCAAACAACTTGAAGTGACTTATCAATGGCATTTAAAGTGTGTTTAGGTACCATATATGCCTCATCTAGTAAATACAGGCTAACTTGCCTTAGGTATTGTCCGTGAATAAAATTTGGAGTTACATTACATCTGCTATTTTTCAAAATCGGCACAGGAAGTTTGAATAAACCATGAAGTGTACATCATTTTTTTAAAAGAGTTGCAGCTATTCCTGTCCATGCAGCTGTTGCAGCTGCTGGTTTCAGCAATTAAATAATTGTATGTAAATGTTTTACCACAACCTGCAGAGCCATCCATAAAAAACAATCTAGAATGTTTGTTTTCATCATTAGGTTACTCACTTAGAGCAGAAAAAATAGCATCAGCAGTTTGACACTGATTATCATTTAACAATGGTCTAACTCTATTTGCTTCGTCATTTAAAACCTGAACATCTTCCTCTTCATTTTGTGGGACATAACCTAAAAACTCATCTAAAGTAGAAAGAATAAAATCAGCTAAAGTTTTACCATTCTGATTAATTATAGATTCGTTTTGACGCAAGGCTACGTGCTCAGCAATTATTGGTGGCATGGAATAGTGAATGTAATCCTCCATCATAAAATCTTTAAAGGCATTCCAAAGATTTAAAAGATCATCAGGTTTACAAAAGGTCAAAATAATGGATAACAATTGTCTAATTTGATTAGGCAACCGAGTTGCAACAGCCTCAGTTTACGTATTTCTCCATTCAGCGTCGTCTTGTTACAGACCTAATTGAGAACATGCTTCACAGAATGTATTAAAAATTGTACCATTAACAGTACGCAAGTCTTCAAAAAAAACTGCACCTCTAACATGCAAAAGTAACATTCTAAGATAAAATACTTCACCTATTCGACTTATTAAACCATGCAGATAGATGAGTGTAATGCTGTGCTGCACGGTCTAAAGCTGCCTGTTCTTCACCTTTAACAAAATATATCATTTGATTATCAGGTAGATGAACCTGAAGTCGAATGATTTTATGTGACATACCACCTAAAGAAAACTCAAATATTCGCCACAATGCTTCTGGAGCTGAGACATAGCGACAATTTAAAAACGTGTTTATTTCATCATAACTAACTTGCTTATTTAACACCACATTGGCATAGTCATGCCCTTTGTAAATTTACTTATATAAATACTTAACTGACTTTATGGTCATGCAGGCTTCAACATTTATGTGCGTTTGATATTTTTTAGAATGCCATGGGTTATAAGGTACAACCTAACGGTTATCAATTTGATTACTTTTTATATTGACAATTATTCCGTTATCGACACGTCTATAGCGTGGATAACCATTAAAAATTGCAACAGTGTGGGGATTTAACTCTTTAGGAAGTTTTTTGGTGCATTTCCTATCTTTCAT